GGTTGTGCCTCTGTAGAATATGCTAATTGCCTTGGAAGGGGCGAATTGCATCCTTCATTTATGCCTTTCCCTCTATAGTACACTATGGTCTTTAGTGGTATATTGGAAAATTTCGCACGTGTCAGTAACCAACTAGACCAACTTGATACCTGCAACTCGACACGGCCGCCACAAGCTTTCCTGCCGATTTGTACGTTGTTACCCCTTTTTCTACATTACTCCCTCGCCTTTTCTAACTTACACTGTCTCCTAAATTACGCTGTCGTGTGTCTCATATGCATAAATCCACGTTCTATGTATTCTATAACTTCGTACACTCCACACTCCAATCATCCTGGTCCCCGCTACCGATGCCACTACAGCTGCCGTCGTGGCCGCCGTTCCATGCGTCGTCACCACTGTGACGCCCCGCACACTGGGCAATTCTACGTTGAGCGCTCAACCGAAGTGTTGCTGCGAAGAGGCTGCGCTGTGCTGTGGTGCTGTTCCGCCGCGTGCGCGTGGTGGTGGTGCCGTTGCTTTGTTCCGTTCTCGTGTGCATGCGTGTTGTGGCGGTATCCATCCTCAGTCTTATCGGTACGTGGCGGCCGTATAATACGTGTTGGGCCGTATTAGTGCTTTCTGCCCTCGGTCCTTACCTGTCGTGGCCTTTGATGGTGTGTCTGCTGCTTTGGCGGCGGCGGCTTGTGCAGCGGCATTCTTCGCTATGTCGTCCTTTAATTGGTATTCCACGGGCGCGATAGCTTGTTCTATTGCTTTGTCGATCTCCTCATCCTTTTTGTGGTCTGCGGCGTCCACAGAAGTGTCCGGGGGTGCTGGCGCACGGGACGCCGTTAATTTGTCCTTCTCCTGCTCCTTCTCCATTTCTTTCTGCAGAGTGCCCAAAATGTTCCTAATATCCCCCTTCATTTGATTCTTCAGATGTGCGTCCTTCCCCTTCTCAGCCTCTGTGTCGTGTTCAACTCCTGGCTGTTCCAGTTGTTTCCTAGTCGTCACTTTCCATCCCCTACACCCATCGCTTATTTGTTCCTGTGCAAGTTTCTCCTGCATCTTTTCATTCTTCTTCAGCCATTCCTTCATCTTATTCCTCATTGGCCAAGTGTTCAATTCTATATCCCTGTACTTCCCCGTCTTACAATGCTGCTCGTGCCAAATTGCTTTCATGGCTTCCCACATATGGTCCACCACCCACCATGCGTAATATGTGCCCCAGTGACCTTCGCATCCGTGTTCCGTCAGTATGTCTTTGTATATATCCGCTATGGTGCATCTCATTATGCCCTTTATTTCCTTATCCTTCCCCTCGTTGTCCTCTGCGTTTTTCCGTGCTGCGTCACTCCATGCGTTCGCAAAGTATATCGCTTGCGTCATGAGTTTGCATATAACTCTTTCTTTCCTCCTACTCATTTCCCGTTGTGGTTGGTTCTTCTCACCATGTTCTGCTGGATGCTCCCAGTATGCATTACTGCAGTTAGCAGCATGTTCCTCTGCATTTGGATCGTTCAATTGATTTATAAAAAGCTCCAGTTGTGTTTGCATATCTTCCCATAACTTACTCTGTGGTTAACAGAATGCACATATATCTATGTGGTCGCAGACGGTTATTCACCAACCTTTTCAATCATCTAATTATATTTGTTCGTTCCTTGCTTTTACATGTAAATGTGCCGTATGCGGCACATATGAAGCACGCACATGTCCGACATGCTGCTACGCTTTAGTATGCTGCTCTTATACACACATATGTGCTGCCTTGTGCACACCGCCGCACGCGGCTTGTATGTATATGAAATTACCTGATAAATCCCAGTATCCACCGTTAGTTTCCTACGCTGCGCATACTCTCTCAATATCCCCGCTAACTCTTTCGGCATTGTTGTCGTAGCATAACAACATAGAAAAGATCATGCCTTTCAGAAAGCGCGTACCCGTCTACATATGTTGCACAAGTGCATTACGTACAATGTCTACCACTCCAATATAATGCGCTATCTACACTACACAATAACATGCTACGGACAGCATTCGAAACATACACGTTAAAAGGGGGTATGTATGCCTTAATTCATATACGTATACGTACATATGTACTCCTTATCCTTATATACAGAACGCGGAGCAGCACAACGAACCATAATAAATACGAGTAAAAAAAACAACAAAAATAAGTTAGAAATAAATGACATAAAAAAAAAAAAAAGAAACAAGTGCAGGACACACATCATACCTGTACAAATGCATAACAACATCATGTACGCAATACAGACAAGACGTTGTCTGTGGTCCACACATGAACTGGCGCCACCGTAAAGAATAATCAAAAAGCAAAACAAAAAGAGCAAAAGGGAAAAGAGAAAAAAAAGAAAAAAAAAAAAAAAAAAGTTACAGTACACTACCGACGCACGCAGCACCGTCATGAATACCCCCCGCCCCCGTTCTACACCGGTGTCCACTAAACGCCTGTCACACACACTGTGTCTCTCTGTGCGCACACTAAAAACCGCAGTATAACAACAACATCAATTTCTTCTTCCGTCGTTGCCGCGTACTTGAACCGCTGACTCGGCCACGTGTGCTCGGAGAGACCATCTCTCCTCCTGCTTACACTCGGCGACTTGGTCGAAACCTTCTTACACTCGGACAATCTCCGTTTACCCGGCCACGTTTGCTCGGAGAGACAATCTCTCCTCCTTCTTACACTCGGCCACTTCGTCGAATCCTGGTTACACTCGGACAATCCGTTTACCCGGCCACGTTTGCTCGGAGAGACAATGTCTCCTCGTTCTTACACTCGGACAAGCCTTCGTCGAATCCGTGTTACACTTGGCCGCGTTGGTCGTCGCGTTTGCTCGCAGAGACAATCCTCCTGCTTCTTACACTCGGCTACAATGAGGTTTACGCGGCCGCCTTTGCTCGGAGAGACAATCTCTCCTTATACTCGAATGCTTATGCGCATTCTATATGTGTTCTGCACTATACCCGTAGAATGCACTTGCGCATGTTTTAATAATTAACTTCACATAAAGGCGACTACTACCCCTTCATATTATTCATTTAAATCTACATTTTATATGCATGTGACCGGTACCACCGTATCCGACAGTCATAATAAAAGATGTAACAAGAAAAAAACAAAAGCAAAAGTAAGCACAAGCAGAACAGAGCAGCAAAAAAAAAAGACGGTATAGAATAGTACAAACAAGAAATATATTATGTATATCACATAATGAAGTAAAAGTGGTGTACGATTAGCATGCGTTATTGCACATTCATATGCGTCGGCATGCGAATGTCAGAGCTGCTCCAATAGATCATCCACATATAACTCCCTATCCTGCAAACGACATTCCAGCTCGCAGTGTTCTATGACTAATGCCAGGAGCAGTATCCATATTTTAGCGGTTAACGATTTCGTCCTATATAGATCCGGATATAGGTCCTGCTGTTCGCGCTGTTTCACGTTGGTGGATGGTATATGTTCGTCATGGGGTACTTGTGGCATCAAGTGGGTGTCTTCCGTGTTTAGTCCGGATATGATGGCCGCTTGCACGGTTTCTTTGGTAGCTCCGGGCACCCGTTGCCCGTGTAATGTGTTTTCCTCTTCTATGTTCCTCAATAGGTATTGGAAGCACTGCTCGTCGCTGTGTACACTCATTTGCGCATGTTGCTTTGCAACCCATTGTTTCCATAACCGCAGTTTCGTCATGTCTGCGGATGGGATATTGCCACGCGCACCGAGTGCACGCTGCGAGGATACTCCGTTATCCTCGTTTGCCACCATGTGATCACGCAGGTATTGCTTCCATTCCGCTTTTAATTGCAAAAACCGTGGTTGCGTCGTGCACGCGCGCAGCGTATGTTTGTTGCGGTCAATCCAGTTAATCCAATGGATGCAGTCCGACGTCGCGTGCTCGGGGTCGTAGGGGCGATGTTGTTCATCGTGTAACTGTATGTTTTCCATACAACGCCATGGGTCATCTTCATCAACTGGACATTGATATGGTCCGGAGTCAATCGGCTCATCCGCGGTTGTCGAAGCGGCGGTTGTGGAATGGCCGGCTGTCGATTCCTGGTTCGAAGAAGAAACCGGGGCACCACAACGTCCGTGGTTGCCCCCCATAAACTCTTCAACGACAATCTTCCAATAGTCGTCTTTCACCCTGTCCCATGCGGCCGCTTCACATTCGTTGAGCACTTCTAGATGTAGGTCGATGATCGTGCGCTTATGCACGCGTGGTGGGCGTGGTCCGCGGCGGTCGGCAAATGTATCGCGACGTGGTGCGCGCATAACCGTGTACCCGTAATCGGGTGGCGGCTCGCCGCGTTGTAGATGCTGCAATATGTCTTCGTCGAGTGGCGGTGATGGCACGTCACACACTGTTCGATATGTTCGCCGACGTTTGGCGAGGTAAGCAAAGTACTAAACAGAAAAAGGGGGGTAAAGAGCAGGGTGAGGACGGTAGGATAAAAGGAATGAACACGGGTGTAGCAGTATATTGGTTCGAACAATCATATATTGGAGCCGGTTGGGATGTTCAGAGGTATAAACATCCGGCACATGCGGCATGCCCGCATTGTCGTATATACTTACCTTCCAAAGGGAATAACCCAGAAGGGCGACGGTGACGGAAGTGACGAAAAACAGGATGGGAGTAGTGGCGGTAAGGACGGTGTCGGTTAGGTCGGGGAAGACGGGGCCATCATCGTGCACATTCTTCGGAAGTTCCCCGTTTGGACCTGGGGTGGGTCCTGTTCCGTAGTGTCCTCCTATGTCCCTGCCTTTTGCATCAAATGGTATTGTTAGTTTAAGGTCGCACTTAGTATCAGTACTGTTGGAGGAGCAACTTGCTCCAGTATGCGTTGCCTCGTCCTTGTTACCACCTGAGGATGTTGTTCCTGTTCCTGTTCCTGTTCCTGATGTGGCTGATCTGGGCGTGCTCTGTTCCCATGGGGTCTTGCCGAACCATGAGAAGTCGTCTGGTGGAGGACTCGACGGAGTGCTCTGCGTTCTTGCGGTAGAGGATGGTTCACCATTTTCACCGGGTGCCCCGGGTTCAGTGAACAATAATGGGTCAGGTGCATCAGGAACAGTGTTGCCTGTAGATTCACCTACGGCGCCTGATGTTTTTGTAGGTGATGAATCCTCAATTGCTGTTGTCGGGGCAGGCTCCGTTAATGCTGGATCCGCGCCTGGACCTGCGGGTGCAGATGGTTCTGGTGGTACCGGGTTTTCCGGTGTACTTGTGCTTACGGTAGAATCTTTACCTATGGGTGCAGGTGAAAGAAAGAAGAATATGGAAGAAGCCTGAAGTTGTGTGCGCTTGTGGCGCATGTGTGACAACCGGGGTGCAACAGATCGGTGACCACGATCGACCGACGAAGGGCCATGGCACGGTGCGAACTGTGTTTACGGTGCCACCCCGGGAAAAGACACTCTCTGTGTCCCCCACACAACACACACAACGCACAACACACACACTGTGTGAACACAGTGCGCGTCGGTCGGTGTCGACGTCTACAACCGGCGGCCGACCCGTCGCTCGCACCGCTCTGCGTCCCGCTCATTCTCATTCCACCCGTTTGTTCGCTCACGGAATTGTGTTTTTGGTTATGCGCGACATGGTCCAGGTACGGTGACTTAATGATAATTAGACCCGCTTTTGCTCAATAGCGGGTAGTAAGGTAGTGTCGCTAATACCTGAACATTCAGACGAGGAAGAGGAACCACTAAAGTGAATCTCCACAGTTACACTGTTACCGTCCTTGTCTGCCTTTTTGTCAGTGCGTGTAGTAGGTCCGCATGATGGTCCAGGTGTCTTACCTTCCTTTTGGTCGTTTTCAGGCTGCTTCTGAACTGGCGTCGGATCTTCGCTTGTTTTTTTTTCTACTGATACTTCGGGCGGTACCTTCCCGCCTGTGCCTCCTGGGGCCGGTCGTTCCTTTGGTGCCGCTGGTACCGTAGGTGGTTGTGCCTTTGGTTTCTGGCCTACAAGACCAACGGAAGAAAGATCGATGAAAAGATGATAAAAAAAAAAAGAACACAAGTGGTACAGAAAGAAGGGGCCGGGACGGTGCGGTCAGGTAGCGGCAGCCTATGATCCGCCGCGATGCATTGGGTCGATGCAGTGGGTCGATGCAGTGGGTCGAGGTAGGACTCGGTGGACTGGGTGAGGCGGCAGCAAGCATACGGCCAGGTGAACTCGGTTGACTGGGTCGGGATGATAGCAGTACAACTTTTATTTGTCGCCGTTATCTCGTCCGCGACCGCAGTCCGATGCCTCGTCGCCGCTACACGGTACGCTCGCCGCTGCCGTCGTGGCCGCTCATCGCTCGGCAATTCTACGTTGACCGCGCAACCGAAGTGGGGCAGCGAAGATGTGCCGCGCTGTGCTGTTTTTCCTGCGCGTTGTGTTCCGCCGTTTCCGCGTGCGTTGCGTTGTTGGCAGTATCCATATTGAGCAATACGGTACGTAGCGGGTCGTATTAGTGCTTTCTCCGATCGGTCCTTACCTGTCGGTGCCTGTGTTGGTGTGGCCGCGACATCGGCATAAGGTCCTGCTGCATTACTCTTCTCTGTGGATAGTATCTTTTGGATTTTTTGCACTACGTTGTTCTTTATTTCTTGCTCATTTTCCTGAATAGTTTTCTGTACATTTCTTATGCCTGCCTTTACTTCCTCCTGTATTTCTTGTACTTCCACGTCTTCTTTCTCCTTGCCGTTCTTATCCGTTCCCTCGTGCTTCCATCCCTTACACTTGCTGTTCAAGATCCCCACACCGTGGCCTGTAGCCGGGGCTAGTTTCTGTTGCTTCGACCACTCTCTCATTTGTTTTCCTAAATTTCCACCTGCCACATCTGTTGCTTTGAAATCGACTCCGTCACATATATTATTCCCGTTCATATTTGTACTGGTGGTTAACATACCTTTTACTGCTTCATATGCATATTCTGCGCCCTTTGTTTCCCAACATTCCTCTCCTAATATATTCTGTATAAATACATTCACTATCATACACCTCATGTACAAATGTTCAGTATTGACCGTTGCAGGTGCTTGTGTTCCTTCGCCTAGTCCTCCGCTGAAGATATGGGACTCATGCTTAAATTTCAGAGCTTCCAGCATAAACGCGCATAGGACGCGATCTCCTGGTTTTATTGATGCTTCCCCGTGTTTTATCGCAGCAAGTTCGCACATTAGTGCATGTGTGTCATCACTATCTGTTTTGTCCATATGTGTCACAAAGTCATCGTACACAGTCTTCATATCTGCCCAAAACTTGTCCTACATGGCGCAATAAGCATATACTTATAAACATATACATGTTCGTTCCGTTTTCTATTTTTGGTTAAATTTCTTGCGCACTCTGTAAAATACATGGTGCTCCTTAACATACATAATGGTATTTCTTGTTCTTTCAATTATTAGTCCAATACACACTGCTGCCATATGTATCCTATGTAAGAATTTCTCCCATTCTGCGTTATCATATGGACATATTCCTGCTGCACTGTGTCGTGAATCTGCCTCGTCTATGAACTTACGTAAGCGTCCTGCTGCCCACTTTCGCCGCCTATGCCTCTAGCATTTATATAACTCACTAGAAGTCTCGCTAAGAAATGCATCGCAGCATCCCTGTCGTCCTTGCTGGCTTTTCCATGACCATGAGCTGCAGTGCGTGTGGTGCGTCCACCACTCCCAGAGTGTGTCGTCCTCATGGTCGCAGATGCCGGTGTCACCGGTGGTCCCGGTGTCGACCTCGCTACTGGTTTGGCAGGGCTGCCGGCTCCGTCAAAGCTTCTCCGTCAACGCTTCTCCGTCACCGCGTTCTCCGTCAACGCCTCTTGCGTCAACGCCTCTCCGTCAACGCCTCTCCCGTCAACGCCGTCTCCGTCAACCCCGTCTTCGTCAACGCCTCCTCCGTCAGCGCCTCTCCGTCAACGCCTCTTCCGTCAACGCTTCTCCGTCACACCACTGCTCCGTCAACGCTTCTCCGTGAACGCTGCTCCGTCTACGCCTCTCCGTCAACCAAGTCTCCGTCCACACCTCTCCGTCAACGCGTTCTTCGTCAACGCCCTCTCCCGTCAGCGCGTTTCCGTCACCCCGTCTCCGTCAACGCTCTCTCCGTCAACGCCTCTTCCGTCAACGCGTCTCCGTCAAGTACTTCTGCAATGTCGTGATAAGTACACAAACTACTACTTGTTTTCGTCCGCCGTCCTGCCGACCGTCTTCAACTTGTGTAGAAGAAAAAAAAAAAAAAAAAGTTACACTACACTACCGTACACACACAACACGTCATGAATACCCCCTCCGCCCTTTCTACACCGGTGTGCACTAAACGCCTTAACACACTGTCTCTCTGTGTGCGTACACCTAAAACCGCAGTAACAACATCAATTTCTTCTGCCGTCGTTGCCGCCTTCCTTGCCTCGTTGTGTGCTGCCCCACACAATATGTGTGTTCCTTCCTCCGCCACACGTCTCGCTGTTGCCCCGCTCTCTCAACTCCCTCTGTGGATACTTTCACTCGGCTACTTCGTCGAATCCGTCTTGCACGCGGACCGATCCGTGTACCCGATCGCGTTGCTCGGAGACACAATCTCTCCTCCTTCTTACACTCGGCTACGTTGTCGAATCGTGGTTACACTCGGCCGCGTTACTCGGACAATCCCGTTTACCCCGCCACGTTTGCGCGCACACAATACCGGTGCTGAGTGGGGCGCGTGGGTCGACGCGTGTGAGCGGCTACGACGTCGAATACGCGGTGCAGGCAGACGGATGGTGTGCGCGGAGGCCATATGCAGGCAGCATGCAAATACAAAACCATGAACGGATGCAATGGCGTGGACGCCAAGGATGACAAATAGTATGATAGGTAGTGGATAATAAAATATGGATGCGCGCGCAGGTGCAAGATGCAGGCAATGGAATAAGCGCATGCAACGAACAACAGGCTGGATGCAAACACAAAACCATGAACGGATGCAATGGCTTTGACGCCACAGATGACAAATAGTATGAGAGGTAGTGGAAAATAACATATGGATGCGCGCGCATGAGCAAGATGCAGCCTGGATGCAAATCAAAAACCATGAACGAACGCAATGGAGTGGACGCCAAAGATGACAAATAGTATGAGAGGTCGTGAAAAATAAAATAGGGATGCGCGCGCAGGTGCAAGAACCAGGCAATGGAATAATCGCGTGAAGCGAACAATAGCCTGGAATGCGAATGCAAAAGCATAAAGAACAGAAGCACGAAAATGGCTAAGAGCGCGCAGATGAGGCGTAGAATGCCAAAAAAACAAAAAAACAACAAACCCAAATCGGCGTGCGATGCACGAAGTGAAATCGCTAAAAAAACTTAGAATGGCATGCAATGGTACGGATACGTGATAACAGTGAACAAAAGGAGCTGCGGAGGAGCAGCATGCAGGAATGCATATGACAAAAGTCCAAAGGGGCGCAAAAACTTGGCCCGCAAAGGAAGCATGCAGGAAAAGGGAATGAAAAGGGAATGCAAAAGGGATGCAGTAGAAGGATAGCAAAGAAAGGAGTAAAAGGGGGAAAAAAAAGGAAAACAAGGAAAAAAACGAAAAAAGGAGAAAAAAAAAGAAAAACAAGAGAAAAAAGGATAAAAAAGAAAAAATAAAATAAAATAAAAAAAAAAAAGGAAAACAGGAAAAAAGGAAAAAAGGAGAAAAAAGGAGAACAAAAAACCCAAAAAAAAATAAAATAAAATAAAAAATCGAAAAACAGGAAATATGAACATGCGGCGCAGAAGAAAAAAGAAGGACGGATATAAGCGCAAATGGAAAACGGAAGTAAAAAAGTAAAAGTCAGAAAGGCAGGTGTAGAACCAACGGAACAACAAAAGCACCGAAAACAGGGAACAGCTGCAGCACGAGGGTGATGATAGGGAGAAAAAAAAAAAAAAAAAAAAAAAACCCAAAAATTGCAGTAGCTTCACATGCATAAATGCGCAAGATAGAACAAACGGAAGGACGCGAGTGGATGCATTGGCATATGGAAAAAGCGTGAAGGGTACGCGCGAGTGCGCGATGCAGTGGAGAAAGGGCCATCGAAAATCGCATAGCGGACCAAGGCACGTTGGTTAAAAAGAGGGAGAAAATCTGCAAACCGAGCGCGGGACGGCGTGAACATGATTGCACGACAACATACACAAGTACAAACGAAGTGACGTAGAGGATCAAGAACCAAAACCGCGCGAAGCGCGCATGAGCAAGCGACACAGGGGAACAAACGAGGCGCGATGGGAGAGTATGCTCGACAAAATGCGCAACGCGCGCGCACTGCAGTGCAACGTGCGTGAACCACGAGCAGGTGGAAAGAACCGGGCGTGCACAGCACACGCGCACGCACGAAGGCAACAGGGGGACCAGAAACGATATGCGCAACAAGCGCAGCAGAACAGGAATAGAACAATGGTGCATACACGCCGCACGTGTAGTGGACGCAGGAGTAACCGAATCACACTCGGCAGCAGCACAGCACAGATTGCCGCAACATACGTGGGATCACCCAAAGCGTAAGGTACAATGTGCAGCACGCAACAACAGTGCATGAGCACATGAGGCGTGCAGTGCACTGCCCACGGCAGAGCACCCAGAACTTCGCGGCGTGCGCCGTGAACGCGCCGCGCGCCTGGTATCAGATGCGCACGGCAGTCGCAGGCGTCGGATGCAGCAGCATGAAGCGAACACGTGCGACACGCGCGCGCACTATGCGCAGCGTCTACCACCGTCGCACCATGTGCTCGCGATGCGCGATACACTAGTGTCAGAAGCGCGCGCGCAGTATAGAACCCTGCGCCTGGAACACAAGGCCGCGTTGCGCATCATGTACCCAGCATCAGCACAAGCCTGCAGCAGCAGGCAGCGGGCGTAACAGAACCACCACACAGGCAACACCAGCGCCGCGCGCACACGCACGCTGCGTGCACCGTGGACAAATAAGAGACATACAGCGTGTGATGGTGCCCACGGTACCGCGCCCTCCGCGCACCACAGCAAGAGACAGGCCTCATATGCAGCGCGCGTAGCGAAACCACGGGTGGGACCTGAGCGCAGCCATCAGTAGCTGCAGCAGCATCATGTATGGTAGAGCTGCGCGCGAGCGCACGCTGCGGATGCAGGGCTAGTGTTGCCCGGGCGTACGACGTATTCATGGACACTACCGCGCCGCATGCACATCACGCGCGGGCACCACAGCGAACAAGCAAATACCACATCTTCGCTCACCGCAATGCACCATTGCCGAGAGCACGGCCCCGGCTCGGTCACGACCATGAGTGTGCAGTCGAGCGGGCATGACTATGAGCGCCGAGTTTACGAATTTATGCATAACGAATTATATGTGGACCATTGCTCCAAAATATTTGACCACGTGCAGCAACCACAGGACGAGAGACTGCCCTACCCTCGTTAAGCGGCGATGTCACTGTAGATGCTGCTACGTTTGGCCGCGTACCAACATATGCGTTCATATTATATGCTACACGTCGCATGCTGTTATTATCATGTACAAGATTATAGTGCCCAAAAGCGGGGGATATTAATTCGGTGCCAGAATTTTTCAAGTGCGGAAAAAACACAAACAGCACTGTTACATTTTATAAAAATATTTGCCACATGTTATATGCATGGTAATCATCATCTAATGTTTGTTACATATAGGATATTTGTATATTATACATACATATAAAATGTAGTACAATGTATACCCTTTTTAGGGGTACATTCCCCTTTTCTTAATATCAATAAACTATGTATCACATAAACAACCCCCGTTATATATGTGCAAACCATGTACATTGGACAGATATAAACATCAGTATAATTTAAGGCGCAACTATATGGTAAATAATGTAAATATTAATAAACCCTGTCATAAACATAGTACGAAGTGTTATAAAAAGGTAAATATAAGAAATATATATAAGCATACTGTAACAGTGAAGTTGCCTGCCGGAAGTGGCATACAGGAAGTTACTTATGGTTTCCCCGGTAATTTAAGTTTCCATGGTAGTTTTATTTTCGCAGGTGCTTACGATTTCTTAGATAATTCTGCTTTGTTAGGTACTTCTGATTTTCCACATGATTCCGGTTTCATGAGTACTTCTGGTTCCTCAGGTGCTTGTGCTTTTGCGCGTTCTTCCGGTTTCTTTGGCACTTCTGTGGTTCCAGGTACCTCCGTTTTGTTAGATACTTCTGGTTTCTTAGGTGTTTCCTGTTTCTGAGGTACATCTGATTTCCCCGGTGTCTCAGGTTTCTTAGGTACCTCTAATATCCCAGATGCTTCCTGCTTGTTAGGTACTTCTGGTTTTCCAGGTACCTTCTGCTTCCCGGGTGTTTCCGGTTTCTTATGTGTTTCGGGTTTCTTTGGTATTTCTGGTTTCTTAGGTGCTTCCTGTTTCTTAGGCGCTTCCTGTTTCTTAGGTGCATCTAATTTTGCAGATGCTCCCTGCTTGTTAGGTACTTCTGGTTTTCCAGGTACCTTATGCTTCCCGGGTGTCTCCGGTTTCTTATTTACTTCTCCTTCGTTGTTTTTCGTTTCTGTGGGAGCTTCCTCCTTCTCCTTCTTCTTCCACATTTTATCCAATAAACATTTCCCTGTTTTAGAGCAGCAGAAACATAGTAGCACGCAGGAGAAGATAATTGGAATCAGTATGGGAGTTCCATATATGCCCATGCCCATCCACAAACTGACTTCTGGTCCAAGCGCTATTACGCACGCCTGCACGATGCTTTGTGTTGCGGGCGATATAAGGAATGAATACAGGACTGTGCAGACTAATATAACCTTCATCCATGCCCTTCTCCCCATTTTACAACGTATCAATTTCTTCAAACCTCTTCTACAATTATTCCCTGCAGTTATATTCTGTGAGGTCTTCTTTTTGTGCTGTGACTTGTTTACTTTGTCCCCGGGTTTTAACGTCTTACGCATGTTGCCAAACACCGTGTTCTTCACGGGACTACCCATCGCACGACAGTCGTAAAAACTACGCGTGCCTTGTTTCCCTGCATGCGTGCCATCACTCAATGCTACGGTGGTCGTTCCAACAGTACTTGCATTCGTAGTTCCATCTGTAATTACATCTGTTGTGTCAAATTGGCTTGTGCCATTGCCCGATGATGTGCCTATTGTACTCGCCTAAAATGTAACAAAAAAGGGGGAATAAATGGGTTTGTTATGGTGTGCGTATACAAGGACGTAGATCGTGCAAATAAGTGGAAAGGCGGTAGATTTATAATTGTTATGGAGCAGTTAAGAGCTTATCACAATAAATGTGTGGTAACTGCCCCCAAAATACAGTTGTTATCATACACAGTCAGCAAATTGCCCGAAGCACAGGGCACAAATACATATAGAGAGTTTCATAAGCAACATCATTGTGTTTCTTCTTTTTCCTTTAGAAAATGTTTGAAGTGGCGATATGTTGTTTATATGTATGAATTATAGAATTGTTTTTTCTTTCACATCTAGGTGTATAGATTAAGCGTGTAACACTGCTTTCTATTTGCTAATAATGAACATTGATAAAATTAATTTCGTACATGATTTACTATTGTTACCTAAATGCATTAATATATATTAAGTGAAGAATCCATATGCATAGTATATGCGGAGAAGGCACAAAGTGCGTGTGGCAGAGGGACCGACCCATTCTAATGTACGTTATACCAAGTACAAGTTGACTAAAGGGGTCAACGTTTTTCACAAATCTCATACGGGTTCATCCATCATGTCGCCATTTTAACGGTGTAATGGGATCAAATTGTATACTTCCAGTGATGGAATTCCATATGTGGAATAACACTTTACTATTTTTAAGTTAGATATAAGAGTGAGAAAGATAGTAACCACAAGATTAGATATGCCCCTTTTACATACAAGAACGGCGCAGAAAATTTGGGAATAGAGCCGCGGGCTCAACGTTGCCTTGTGTCAGTGCTTGGAGGGGTTTGTTATTGTCAAGTATTCGCATAATTATACATGTATCGTGGCCGTTTATTATTTATGGGGGTCGTCATTTATGTCGTTCTCAGGTTTTATTACGCGCAATGATAAATAATAAATGTGAACATATTGTTTGCAACGTTCTTATGCGTATACCGGGCGTTCTATGTTCTTTTTGATAAAATGTGAATGGATTTAATTAAGAGTGTGAGCAATATATAAATCACGGGTACATGTAGGGTGAAATTGTGGGCTTAGAGCTTAAGGTTTGCGGATTGCAAGGTTTCACGATTGTAACATTTCAGGTGTGTACGGTTTGTGGATTATGTGGTTGCGGAATACCGATTTAGGATTCGGGTTTTTGAGGCTTACTGTTTGAGTATTTTAAGGTTCAGGAATGCGTATTGAGCATTCCTGGTTGCGGACTTAACAATAAAGGCTTAAGGTTCGCAGTTTACCAACTTTAGGAGGCTTAAGATTTTAGGGCTTTTTTTTTTTTTTTTTTTGTTAAATAATAAACCATTTCATTTACAGCAGCATATGCATACGACTCTAGTCTGTATACCATCATACATGTATATACTGTACACTCTGTGTACGCAAGTATCTAATATATTGTGTCACACAAGCCCAACCTTCGTTGCCTCCAATGTACCATGTATCCGCATATAGGGACGTTAATCTGTAGTAGGTTTTTTTTTCCTTCTTTTTTCTTTGTTCTAAAATTTAGTATTGCTTGTTTTTTCTTGTTGGAATAACTTCCGCATAGTGTACAGTTGGTTAGCGTTCCTTTTGGGAACATGGGACGGGAACAGTGGAATGGCGAATGGCAACGGTTGGTCCATTTTCCACTCGGTTATATTTGTGCGTTGTGCATGCGTTGTGTGCCATCGTATGTGATGTGCCTGCACTTACTTTCCAAAGGGAATAACCAAGAAGGGCGACGGTGACGGCGGACAGGAAGAAGAGAATCGGAGTAGTGGCGGTAAGGACGGTGTTCGTTAGGTCGGGTCCATGTGGGGTCACGTTCCCGGGACCTTGGTTACCGCCCGATGATATGGATGATCCATCCTTTAAGGTTGGTGGGACGAATCCTCCTCCGGGGTCATTTCCATCCTGTTCTGTGCCATTCAGTCCTAGTCCAAAGTCGCGCTGTAATGTAGTACCATTCCATACCCACTTTTTTATTTTGTCTGCATTCTGTTTTTGTGAGTTCTCCAATTTCTCCACAGCACGGACCTATATATCTGCTTGCGTGGCTCCCCCAAATAATCCATACGCCAGTGCAGGATCACCGGCAATAACGGTAGCACCAGGAAGTTCTGCAGAGTTCTCTATGCCGGATGCAGTGGACGTTGTCGTTGAGGTTGTTTCTGATGCTGCGTGTGGATCCTGAATCTCTTTCGATTTTTTATCGACATCATGCTGCCCATCCTGTGTAACCTGTGGAACCTTTGCATCTACTTCCTTGGTATCAGCTAAGAACTCATTAAGCAGCAACGAGAAGAATATGGATGAAACTCAAATTTGTGACGTGGTTGACCACACGGTTGGCAACATTGGTGTCACGGGGACGGGGGGTGGCAGGTGCCACCCAGGGAAAAGACTCTCTCTCTCTCCCACAACACAAACAACACACAGTATGTGTGTCTGTCGACGTCTCTACGTCTACAACCCGCGGCCGATCACCTTCGCCCCGTCATTCTCATTCGACGTGTGGTTTCTCGCTCTCCGTGGTGTCTCTCTCTCTGCGTGGTCTCTCCCTCTGTCTGCGGAAATTGTTTTTTGTTTGTTTTTCTTTTCGTGTGTCTGTCCCTATCCATCAACTAAGGGTAAGAGTAATGGAACCTTTGGTATGATTCTCCCTCACGGACGTCGTATAGTGCGCACCTGGGGGTGCTCCTGAAATATCAGGAGAAGTCCCTTGAGATATGTCTATCACACGTGTACTCCCGGGGATACCCACGGGACCCGTCCCTCTATACTGGTCGGTCTCGTCGTTGTCATGCACGCTGTGCATTGTGGGCTGTTCCATGTTATCCAGACAAGCAATAATTTTAGTAATATCAGTTCCTCCCTGTTTACACTCCCCGTCACGCTGCGGAGATTTTTCACTACTGCCAGGTCCATCTACATTCGCGATTTGATTCTTACCTACGTCTCCTGAGCTGACTTTAGGCTTATCACTATCCTTATCCTGCTGTTTCCCATCTTGCCCCGGTTGTGACTGCTGTGGTGGAGGTGGTGGGGGTTGTTGTCCAGGTCCTGGTCCTCCGCCGTGGGGCCCCGCGGCCGCCTGTGCGTCCCGTACCGAGGAATCTGATCGTGGTTGTGCAGAACATGGTGATGTTCCTGATGTGCCGTCTGCGGATGGTGCCGAGGTCTGCGCCCGTTTCTGGTCTCCTGCTCCCGCTGTTACCGGTTTTGTGGTTGCCGGCTTCTTGGCCGCCGGCTTCGCCGCGGCAGCGGCTGGGGGTCCACCCGGCGTGTCCGTGTCCTTGCTCTTCTTTTCTGCAGTAAGGAGAACGGAAGAAAGATGGTAGAAATATGATAAAAAAAAAAAAGGACACAAGTGGTACAGAAAGAAGGGGCCGGGACGGTGCGGTCAGGTAGCGGCGAACGTACAATTGCCGAGTGGAGCGGCCACGAGTGTAGACGTGGTGTGCGGCGTCCACGACGGCAACTGTAGCGGTGACGAGGCACAGGACGAGCATGAGTTTAGTGTGGAGTGTACGGAATTTATGGATATAAGTGGATTATATGTGGATAGTTTATTACAAAACATTTGAGAACACAGGAAAAAGGAAGAGGGGATATATATACGTTGTTCGTATGACAAACACTCTCATAATAGATGTTGCTATGACACATGTCGTGGTGACAAGTATCGTAGGCTTCCCTGAAACGCCTGTTTCACTAGGGGATTAAGGTGGTCTCAGCACATCCTGCTGTTTAGTGGTTATAGCTTGCTCGTTTCAACATATATTAGAGAATGTCTGTTATTATCACAAAAAGAAAAAAAGAGAAAGAAATGGTCTTACAGCAGAACAATCTGCACAGTTCCTCACATATAGATCCTTAGATATTACATAATCCCATATATATACCACATGAATAGAAAAGTGGAACCAAAGGTACTCACTTATACTCAGTAACACCCTTGTTACGTAAGTGACTTCATGCAAGTCCTCTATTCATCTGCATTTTTTTAACAAATGAATGTAACATTCTCTATATATTACCATTCTGCATACTATTATTTTCTATCATTACAACTTTTTTGCACTCGTGCTCTTCATATTACCCTTTTGTACAATACTATTTTTTACCTTATGGAATGGCTTACGGACTTCTATATTATATATGATCAATACTCAATTAAAATATTTTACATAAAATACCCCATCCCTCTTTAAAAAAAAAAAAAAAATATATATGCAGCCTAAACCTAAAAACTCATTAAATCTGGAAAGAATTGCATCGTACCTTTATACAAATGATCTAAACCTTCTTCTATCCATTTCCATGATAATATTCACATTAAAACAATAAAGTGTTAGTGCATGTAGAGAGGTTCCAATTTTTCAAAATAAATAATATTTCCGCTCATTCGATTGCTCGAATTTCAACATCATGTAAGAGTGGCTAAAATATATCTACAAGGTACAAAGCACCTAATTCGTTTTTACATGATATAATATGTAATAAAATCATTTCTTTTATATTATTCCCTACATTAACATATTTATTTCATATGTATTCTTATGCATATTAATTTTTTATTTAAAATAATATATATAGGCACTTAGAACAAAAAAATATGAATGATATATATGCAGAGCGCTTAATTAGGATGTTCCCGTTTCAAAAGAGCAGATCGTTCAGGGTCTAGAGATCCTATAAAAATCAATACATATATATAAGGAAAAAAAAACAAATCCTGCATTCCTTGCATATATATTAAGGGATTTTAAAAAAAAAAAAAAAAGGAAAAGGACATAATCACATGATGCACTCATGCATACAA